TATGAAAATTCTAAAACAATGAAAATTGTTATTTTAAAATTTTATATCTCATATTATTTGAAATTTTAATCTGTGTGAAAAACTGAGTATGATCATATCTCTACCCACTATGTCCCTCTAGTTCCTCTTGTGACCTTCCAATAAGTCTCTGTACCATTTCATAACAAGTTTTGTTTCTTTAACAAAGAACACAATGAATCCAATAGGTTCTATCTATACACACACAGGTGGAGTCTTTCACTAGTACACCAGAAGCCTCCAGAAAACTTCCAAATAAAACTAATATTATTTTCCTGATTGGTCATCAATGCAAATAGATTCCCAGCTGAGTGTGGGTCCTCAGGAGTTTCTCTCCATCCATGTAATAGTTTTAAAAATTGTTATATTGTCTTTAATGGTGTGAACAGGAGAGACACGCAACAGGGTGTATGTGTGATCCTCAGAGGACAACTTATGGCATTCAGTTCTTGTGTCCTATCATGTGGGTCCAAGCAAACAAAATGAAGTTGCTAAGTTTGCCAGTGAACCCATTTACCCACTCAGCTACTACACAGGTTCTGACAAAAGAAAATGTACTCAAAGGTATTTTTAAAAATGTATTTTTCCTATATCATTGTGCATTTTATTTAATTGGTCTTTTGCATGTGTTTCATGGTTACAAAGTTGTGTTTTTGTATTTTGTGTGTGCTTGTGCGTAAGAATATTGACTGTTTTGGTCAATATTTTTGTTTGGTATTTCCTTTCGTAATTTTTTTGTTTATTTGTTTTATCTTTGAGAGAGAAAGACACGATGTAGAGTTGGGTAGAACAGGATACATGAAAGATCTAGGAGGAGTAGATGGAGGAGAATCAGTGATCAGAATATTTGTAAAAAAAATTTCAAATGTAAATAAAACTGAATAAAATAAACAAGAAAATATACACCCATAAAAGTTTAACAAAAACTCTTGACTGTGAGCATGGAAACATCACATGTCAACAACAGCAGGTGCAGGTCAGCTGGTAGACTCCAGAAAGGAAACCACAGAGGATACAGAGTTCCCAGCCCATCGACCCCATCTCCCTACTGAGGATTCTTGGCTCCATTGCGCCCCCTGCAGGTGCTGGTCTCCCCTGCAGATTTGTTTGTCATTGCTTACAGTCAAGTTGCACTGGATCCCTTGAGCAATATATCTCTGCAACCTCAGTGCCCACAGAGCTCAGGTACAGGGATAAATGGCTCTTGTTTAACAGGAGATGCTGATGCTTCTTTGAGAGATTGATTTAAGTTGGGCCTGTATGGTCATCAATGTCCCTCTCAATGCCAGTCTTCTCTATGGTGGACCCAGTTCTACCAGTTCCCACAAGTAATAAAGAGACTCGAGGAGAGAAATGGGTCTTTGCAAACTTCATCAGGCTACAACTGGGAGAGAACACCTGAACTCAGAGAAGCACAATGAATCTTGAACTCAGATGTAATCCTTCATATATCCATGCATGGATTCCTGTGACACTCTGATACAGGAGTCAAGAGAAAGACGAGGCAACACTGTAGTACTCGCAGAGCAGTTAACAACTTGAGAATGATATATTCACATGAAGAAGGAGGTAAAAGTCAAGTCAGTTTCAACTGGGACTCAATATATTTTCCATTCCCCCATGAGTATAAATAAATTGTGGCATATCAAATTTCTGTTAGATTATTCACAACCCAAAATTTTTGGCACGGAATGGAGACACAGCAAGGCAAGGAGAGTCCCCAAAGCCCACAAAGAAGCTGGAGACCGCCCCTGTTCCTACTGTGAGGAGTCCAACAAGAGGATCAAGGTACACAGCTGTCACATATATGCAGAGAGCCTTGGTCATTTCATTGCAGGCTCCCTGGTTGCCTGTTCAGGCTCTGTGAGACCCTATGATCCCAGTTAGTTGATTCTGTGAGTTTTCAGGTTGTGTCCTTGACCCCTCTGGCTTCAACATTTCTTTCTCCCCCTCTTGTGTTGGGTGCTCATTGGGTCTGCATCTGGTTCCATAAGTTAGTGGATGAAGCATCTCTGATGTCAGTTGGACTAGGCACCAACATATAAGTACAGCAGAAATTTAATTCACCATACAGTTGCTCCTGGGGATCAGAGCTGAACTGTAACAACTTCGCTGGGGAAGCCCTCTCCTACCTGAGCAGAGCTGATACACCGGGGAAGCTTCCCTGGAGCAGGGCTGTAAGCGGCTATGCTTACTATGACCTGTGCTGTTCCTTGGCTCCAGAGCTCCATACAAGCTGTGTAACACTCAGTATTCTGAGAGTCCCAAGTGCCAGAATACATGTCCCATCTGATCTGCCCAAACACATAGCATAGGAAAGGTGAGCATCTCTTCTCAGGGGCCTCTGCTCAGCTAACATCAACAAAGACCGCACAGAATGTCTGATTGCACTCTTTGGAAGCTTGTTTTGTGTCTCTTCGAGATCAATGAGGAGAGATTAGAAGCTCCTAGTCAGTGTCTTCATAATCATTCTTAATATATTAAAATTACAGTTATGCATATCCAGGGTTCTGGTCTATAAGGAGTGTGTGTGACAGTGATGACCTGGCAGTCTTGCCTTCAGGATGTGGCTGTCTCTGGTTCTTGGTTGCATTATGGTCAAGATTCTTGGTACTGGGCAGCAGCTCACTCCTGTCCATTACTGATTCCCACTGGGCTCTGTTGGAAGGCTTTGCTGCCTCATCAAGTTTGCAGACTTCCATAGACCAGCTGCCTTTCCCAAAAGCTCAGCCACATGGAGGTTCCCTCCCTCTGCAATGCAATTACCTCCTCTCTATCTGCCATTATCTGGTGAACATTGCTGAACTCTGAGGAGTTACCTTATCCAAGAGCTGTTTCTAAGCAAGGCGCCTGACCCATGGCACAGATTCCGGCAGGAAGGCTCTCTTGCTGCTCATATGATAACTAAGACTTGTGCTAGTAGCCCTATGACAGGGTGGTGATATTGATGCAAATTAGTGTTTGTCCCCATCATACAGTCATTCTCCCAGAGGGCTGTTTCTGTCATACACACAGCCATCCTAACCGGAGTCAGCACTTCATAGCCCTTACCCTCCTTTTCAGTCAAAGTTCCTGAGAAGGAAAAAGAGCTGCAGGGATCCCCACTCATCCCATATTACAAGCACACAGGAAGAACACTGCCCAGACCACAGGGTTAGCCATTCCTTAGCTCCAGAGGAGCAGCTGAGCTCTGTAGTAAGTACACAGTGGTCAGAACTAGAATTATCTAATTCAGCACAGGGCAGAAGACGCCGTGTTGAATGCAGTAATGGAAATATTTTAATTAAAGTTCAATTATATCACTTCTTAGGCTTATGTGTACAGCCCTCCAGAAGAGGAGAGGGGGTTGGACAATTCAAGGTGCTTCGTGTGACTGAGCCTGGCTCCCCTTCCACTTGGTTCCCTCAGAATTATTAAGACTGTTCCAGCTGAGGGGCAGCCGTAACTTCAGTATGAGGGAAAATCCACCTGAGGTTCCTGAGCTTCTCCAGCAGCCCATCCTGGTGACCACAGAGAATCACTCTTCCCTCATAGACACTTTCTGCATTTGTTCAGGGAGGACTAGGTGACATATTTTTTTTTTATTTTTTAAAGAATATTCATCAAAGCAGAAGTCATAATTTTTAGAGGGGCTGATCAATTCTTGAGTTTATAATTATAAAAGGATCCCCAAGAAAACCAGCAGATGGAGAGGACACCCTGATAAAACAGGACAAAATAATCCAGTATGTCTGAACCTGGGCTTTATGTGTGCTGAGCGCCCCCTGCTGGTCATGGGAACCCGGCAGAGAGGTTTTTGTCTGGGCTCACACTGAAAACTACTCACTGTGTCTCTTGTACAGTAATAAGTGGCCATGTCCTCAGTTCTCAGGTTGTTCATTTGCAGGTAAACCATGGTTCGGGAATCATCTCTGGAGATGGTGAATCTGCCTTTCACCGAATCCACATAATAAGTTGCATAATTATAACTTTTAGTGTCTATGCGAGCAACCCACTCCAGTCCCTTCCCTGGAGTCTGGCGGACCCAGTTCATCCAGGCAGCACTGAAAGTGAATCCAGAAGCCACACAGGAGAGTTTCAGTGACCCTGCAGGCTTCACTAATCCTCCACCAGACTCAACCAGCTGCACCTCACAGTGGACACCTGCAAACAGAGAGGATCCTGATGAAGAAACTGTCACAAAATCTACTGTCTCTCTCACTCATGTCTCCTCACACACTCAGCATCCCGTGTTATCTTGTGATCTACCTTTTAAAAGAGCAACAAAGAAAACCCAGCGCAGCCCCAACCCCATGTTGATTGTCGTGTTTTCAGTGCTGCTCACTGAATGGGAAGACAGGGCTAGAGTCCTCTGCCTGACCTGCGGGGTGAGGGCAGGGCTGCTTCTTGAGCAAAAGAAGGCTGTATTTGCATATCTTCCTGATATATATTATTCTCTGGTGTGTGAGAGGCAGCAGATAATGGTGCTAATTTCTGAAACAAATATGTGACAGCCAACGAAGTAGTAAGGACCACGATTTCGTTAAAATATTATTAGTTATTTGTTTGTTAAAAAGCTTTAACAGCCTTACTTGAATTTTTTGCATTTTGCATGTATTCTTTACTGCTTATCTTACCAGTTATTATACAATAAGTTCATAGATGTTTAAAAAGTAAAAATTACAACTTGATATTTCAAGGGGCACTAATGTAAAGATCAATCCATAGTGAAGTAAATATTAATTTACTGTAATGAAACTGCGCTGCGTAGAACATGGGAAAGAATTTAACATGCACAAAGACCCAAGCTGTATCCTCACTATGGAACACACACACACACACACACACACACACACACAGACACACAGAGACACACCACTCACACACACACCACATAGACACACCACACACACACACACACCACACACACACACAGACACACACACACACACCACACACACCCCCCACACACACCACTACACAGACACACACACAGACACACACCACACACACACACAGACACCACACACACACACACAAGACACATACACACATACCACACACACACAGACCCATACACTCACACCACATACACACAGACACCACACACACACAGACACCACCCCACACACACACACACATACTACCACAGACACACACACACAGACACACACCGCACACACACACAGACACACACATAATGACACACACACACCACACACACACAGACACATACCACACACACACACAGACACACACACAAAGACACACACACACCACACACACACAGACACACACACACACACACAGACAC